TGTACGAAGCCCGACGAGCTGATGCTTCGTCGGAGGATGAGGCGTTTGAGTAACGCTCGGGCGGAGACGCTGAACTAGCACGAATGTGAACACGAAGGGGGAGAGAGCCAACGCCAGAGCCTAAAAGCACAGCACAGCCATGATGAGGTCCTCCTGCTTCTTTCAGAACAGCGTGCAATGCACACAAGCCTAGGTGGCCTAGCTGCCTAGGTAGGTACGGTAGGTACAGTAGGCAGTGGATAGGCGAAGTATCTATAGCAATATTTCAGCAATGCACGGTACACACACGGGCAGCTAGACGCGACTGGTTCTACATAGTACACTGTCGATCCTGACCCAAATACACTCAAGCAACCAAAGTCTGCACTGCCAACGGTAAGACATGATCACCAGGCTGACGGTATCATGTCTTGGAGCCCCCTGACAGCGTCCGTCGACAGCGTCCATCGGGAAAGCATCCCCCCAAGTCAACGTGGCGATGATCATGTCCATGCCGAAGGTTGTCGCTGATGAGGATGGTGATGGAGGGAGAGGTAGCAGTCCAGCGTTGAGAGCTGGGCGCCCCAAGGGCATACTAGGAGAATAAGGGGCCAGGCATGCGACAGTCCTCTCTTGGCTCGGCGCTCAGGCGATGTACTTGCCCGGTCGGCACTGCAGCCACCCCCTCTCCTTATTTTCGCAGAGCATCGCGCCAGCCAACCGTCTGCACCCAATGATCTCATCGCCAGGATCAAGAAAGCCCGTACCTTGCATTGGTGCCACAGACAATCTGGCAATCACACCTGATTGCTGCAAGGGTACCCTCCCGGAAGGCAGGGGCGAGAGAGGGGGTGGAGGGGTAGGAGGGCTCCACTAGGGGGGTTCTTGCTTCCCCTTAGACGCCACTAAGCAGGCCCGCTACTGTTTCTGAAACGGCTCCAATTTCGGTGGGGGAGCCGCCCCAGCGGTCCTGTTCGTCCAGTCTTGCTTTCAACGCAAACGTCGTCCCTCTTCCCCCTCCCTGCTCTTCCCAGCCTCAGTGCGCGTGCTCCCTCGGGCGCCCAGGGCACGCTGTGAACACGTTCTTTGTCATGCCATCCCATCATTTTGTTTGCGTCTATATCTGATAGTAGGACGTTGGTATTACCACGACATGGGACGGCACTCGCTGCAGGGCCGTCCCCAGTAGTTTGGACACGGCATCGTTGACGGCAACGTCTTGATGACCCCCTCCCCGCCCCAGCAAGCACTCAAGGCCAGCGACAGACATGTTGCCTGCCTGTCTGTCCCGCTCTCTGTATACGACCACGCTTATTACACGCCCATCAGAGGACCTTAGACCATGACCTCGCTGCATTTGCCGGTTCTGGACCGCTCTCAACAACTTTGGTGCCATGCCTCTCGACCTTGCATCCCAGTTTCCATACCCAAGGTAGCGAGGAAAGATATTGGCAGTCTCATGGTCGTCTCGCCCCCCTTCCAACCATCCTAATGTGCCGCTACTACGCGCGAACGAAATCCACACTCCGACGCCGCCTCCCTCGCACTCCTGTCTGTGCAAAGCGCCAGGCCCAGGGAACATGACGGACGTGCGTTGCCCGCGCCCTCTTGCAGCCCACCTCCCTTCGATTCGAGCGCCCTGAGCACGCCGACCCCCCTCCACACATCGGAACCTAAACCCCAGACCGGCAGGCGAGACGGGAGAGCAGCAGTGAACTGTTACATCGCCGAGGCTTGCATTTTCTCTTTCTCTCGCCGGAAGGAGCGCTGACGTGATCCTGGATGCCGGCACTTGCGGAATGCAATACTGACCCCTCGCATCTGTCGTCAACCGCGCTACCCCAGAGGGACACAGCTGGTTCTGTGAGGCCCCGTCCATCCTATCTCGCCCACCGATTTGTCACTCGACACGTTTTCCATGTCTCCGCCGCTGGGACGTTGAACTTTCTTCTGCTCGTCGCGGAAGCCGCTACGTCATGCAGAGAGGGCCACCAGCCCACAATGCCCCGATGCGCTACTCAGCCGATGGGATGCCTGGCTGGTCTCTGAAACCGCCAACTCAACTTTCGCTCATCGTCGACTCAGTCCTCTGCAGCTTCGGGGGCAAAGAGCCCATTCTTTGTCCCACCACACGCGGGGCTTCGCCGGCCTACAGTGCCAAGAGCACAGCTCGCAAAATACATACCTTAAGAGGAAATAGGGTAGATTACTGACCTCTTCGTCCCTGGGAATACATGTACACCAAAGTTGCGCGTCTAGACCGTGGCGTGGGGATGCCGATCTTCGAGGGCAATCGGGTTTCCACTGCAGGATGAGAAGGACTCGGAACGATGCCTCATCTTCTGGACGCCATTTGCCCCACCGGTCTTGCAAGCTGTCATTACGCGGAGCCGCCGGCAGATACGTTTCGCGAAACACCAGCATGACCGTCATCGAGACCTGATTCGTCCTCATCGGTTGCGAGTAGTTAATTCAAGGCAGCTGCCAAGTTGCAATTCTGGCCTCCAACCCTTGTCCTGGTTTATTGCTGTCAGACTCACACGGGACGATGATCACGACGGGGAGGGTCCCTGGATCCCCTGCAATTCGCTCATCTATCTCGCATCTCCCCGCGAAATGAGGTCTCTGTGCCGGCTCTGCCAGGACTTCCTGCCCTGTCATCTCTCAAGGCCGCGATTGTTTGAGATTGTATTCTCCTGGTTCCATGCCCTCCCATCAGGCCATCGCGGCGGCTGTAGCACCATGACAAATGAGAGATTTCCCACCCAAGATCCCAGCAAGATTAAGATCGCATGGTCTTTCGAGTAGATTGCAGTCAGTACTTGGAATCAAATGGGTCCTACTAAATTGCTCTTCTCACAGACCAATCCATCAACAACCTTGCCCTCCGGCAGTGGCACCCTTGGATGGTGCGGCACCAACAGGTGCAATATCAGGTTGCCTATGGCCCTCCCCTTAAGACGTATGAGGCGTCATTTTGAAGGTTCAACGTACTGGTCCTTGTGCCGCCATATCCAAACACTCGAGGGGGTCCGAAACAGGGCCTGTCCGACAAAACAGCGGCCAATTCTGCGGCCAAAAGCCCGCCCGATTGGCTTTGTTTCTCAGTCATGCAGGTGCATAGCTTTCCCAATGACTCGGGAGCGTGACTTTGGGTTCCTCGAGAATCGTTAGCTATTTACAGTTTACACCTTGCTAGACTTTTCAGCAACCCGCCTCTGTTAGGAATGCACGTGGCCCGCCGTTCCCGAGTCACACCACGAGGCTCCGATCCAGCCAACGCGTGCTGCCGGGCTTACTTGTGAAGCTGCACGGTGTCCACCTCCAGGACACCGAGTCATTACGCGCCCCGAAACTTCTTTGGGGCGTATGAAAACGGTTTCCACTGAATAGCATTCCTCCGGGCTTGCTTCTTTGTTTCAGACCTCCAGGGCTCAGTACTACGTACGCCTCCCACCTATCGCGTGTCGGTCTGAGGACCAGCATGCCCATGCCGTTTGCGGATCATGATGTTGATATACGTCAGCTCGAGAACTTATCTCTTGACGACTTTCAATGTCACCTAAAGTTGGTGGCCTGTAGGCAAAATCATGCGCATTGGATCACGGGACTTCACAAAGGCTCCGAGCAACCCCACTGCTCTCTGGTCATGTTGCTTGTTATCGGACTACACAAGCAGCCCAACAGCAAAGGCGGCCAAGCATCGTCGCGGGCTGCGAATATCCACGGGCTGGATGAGGAGGAAGCTAATGCAAGGTATAACAGCCACCCTTTTGAATCTCTACCATGTCAACCGTGGCGGCCTGGACGGTGATAGCTTCCATCCCATTGACCCAGAGTGGAGAGCTCCATCACAAGGTGCTACGAAACGCGCCACCACGTCCAGTTGCCGTCCCGATACGAGGCGGTACCCAGAACTCTACAAAAGCTAAAAGAAAGCCGGTGTCATCGCGAACTGTCTGCTCATGAAGCGCACCGTCAGCCCGCTGATTCACGTTCGGCGCCAAGTTCTCACTCCAGGCAATGACCGCCAAGAAATGTCGGCCAGCGGCGCAGCTTCTACTTTCCTGTGGTTCTCGTCATTTCTATCTCTGGGCACACATGTACCCAAGTGAGTTAAGCCATATTGGGGGGCTTTCTAATCTTGTTGCTGGTATGTTGGTACGAGTAGCACTGTTCCAAGTGACAGCCAAGATGTCGTCGGAGTCATCCAAGTCTCCCCCCCCCGTCTCGTGCTGTGGTCGTCTCTCCTCTTAAGGTCCTCGCTGCATGCCCTTGTAGATTTCTGTGAACTCGCGACAAGCTCACAAACCTGACTGCAACTTTGACAATGAAACAACAAGCTGCTCTTGTCAGCTTCGCAGCAAGTCTTCCGACAGCTCTTGCCTGGATCGCGCCGAACGCACTGCTCGCCCGTGACGACGACATCCCCTACCAGGACATTGTCTGCAAGCCGGAGACGTCACCTGACGATGACCTGCCACCATGTGTGAGCATCGAGATCATTGAAACAGCATGCCTCAGCAACGGCACCGACGCCATTCACTACAAAGCGCACGCTCAGTGCATGTGCAACGGCTCCTTCTTTCCCGAAAAGCTTGCGTGTGAACGCTGCCACTTTGTTCACGGCCTCCGTTCTGAGAGCGAGGTCATCCGCTACGAAGGCATACTGGCTGCCGCCTCTGACGCACTCTGCGACGGCAGCCCAACGGCGCCGTTCGCCAGCCTCTTCGCTTCAGCTGAGGCTGTTGCCACACCTGTGTTCACTGGTGCTACCGGCGCAACAGATCGGTTCGTCAGCGAGACAGACATCAGCCTGTACTACACAGCGACAGGCGATCAAGGCGCTGGCACGATCACTAGGGACGCGGCAAGCGCGACGGCTACGGTCACGAACTCGCCGCCCTTCTCTGAAACACCAACCACGGGCACTATCAGCAACTCTGGAGAGGAGACACGTACCACCACTTCGGCCGCCGACGAATCGGAGACGAGCGGTACGGCCACTGAGGAGGTCAACACTACGGAGGAGGACAGTAGCGCTGTACCGACCCAGGCTGCGGATAGGCTTGTCTTAGGACTTGCCGGCATGGCTTTGCTTGCCGCAGTCTGAGGTCAGTCGCTAAGCTCGGGAACCTATGTGTGTAAGAGACATCAGGGCTCTAGGATCCCCAGTGTTCTACCTAGTCGTCTTCATAATTATTCGCATAATCTTTAAGGTATCACGATTTCGTATCAAATTTAACAGTGAGAGTGTATAGGCTCGCTGTGATTATGACATATCTGATTCCCAAGGATCATCCCAAGTCGAGAGAGCAGAGAGATAATCCAGGCGTTCGCGTCTTTCATCGTAAAGCATGAGCCGGAATAGCCTCGGTCAGTAAGGCCTCACAGCTCCCACAAACCACGTAATGCATAGGCATCTGTCTCGACGGAACACTGCACTAGTCTGACCTGTTAGCCGGGCATCGTAGATTGATTGTGTCTCATCGTCCACAGTACCCTCAAAAATGAGATGACCCCATGTGACCAGCTAATACGCTACATTGGCAATGCGCTTTTTAGAAATAATTTTTGCAGATAGCCAATCAATGCACATCGCCTCGGCCTTGTCGAAAGACATGCCCATGTGCAACCGCTGACCTTGCTACAGTGGCAGGACTTGAGCTTCTCTCCTTCCCAGTGGATATGTCAATCTGTCTCGTGTAACTCTCCCCTCGGCCTCCCCGCCTTGGTTCACTCTGTCCAAGCGTGCGTAGGCTCGCATGACGTAAACTAGCCCTGCCGTACAGACCTATCTTCTTCCGATGCCGAAGAAGTCGTACTAGGGGCTGCGGATCTGAGAAATCTCTTGTGGTCTTGCATGTTAGGCATCGGGACGGGGGCCCTGCGGATGGTTGCTTGTCAACATCTGGGGAGGCTTGGATCGAGAGGTGTTGGTGTCTGCGCGGGAACAGAAGGTGCGAGATGGCCTGTCAAGTTGTTGCCAGCGCGGCTAACGGCAGGGACGGGAGGCTGCGGCAAAGAACCGAACAGTGGGCGTAGAGAATTATCGGCATTGACATATGTGGCTCTCACTGTTTGGGGGACGGTTGCTATCTCTTCAAGTTGTTAACCATCCAGGGGCGCCATGGGATGCCTTGGCGTTAATGTATGCGGCGTGTGAGGTTGCTGTCAAGTTTTCCCTGTTCTCTTGCTGCTGATCCGTGATCGATAGAGCCAGTGAGTTGTCAACGCATAGCTTGGCATGCGTGTCAGGGCCCCAGGCCGACTGTCGCGAGATGGCCCGCTTGTTGTATGGAAGCACGAGAGAAACGATGCCACGGAAGGGCCCGAACGTGCTCCAACTACCATATCTCGACCATGCTCGAAATCACGTGACGTAGCACATCAGAGCCAGAGGGCAAGGCGATGGCTGCGCGCTTCATGCGTGAGGTACGCTGCCTCGTCCCGAAACTTCGCAGTCGTACTGTCTGCATGTAACTCACATGCGAGAAAATGTCAAAAGAACAAGGATGATCATACGGCGAACCCCGCCCTACTCAATTGATGACATATGTACACAGCCGCATCGCAGCCTTGTGATCACCCAGTACTTTGCCGAACTCGTCTAGCAACACCTTTCTCCGCTCTGCACCACGTACACAGGCCACGGTCCACGCTTACGCCTGCTTCGCGCCCTCGGCCTTCGAGGGGGGGATGAACGGCTTGCCCTCGAGAGGGTTGATGGCACCGTCGGCGTAGATCATGTGTTGTCTCAGCTCGACGGGGGTGACACCTGGTCGCTGGTTGGGAATGTTCTTCTCGAGCTTCTGTTGCAAGGGGGGAAAAGAAGGGAGCATCTGGTCAGCCGGGTTCATCGGACGATTCGCATCGGCGTGCGATGGAAATTGTACGTACGAGGTTCTCAAAGACACACTTGTTCAGCTTCCACTCCTGCGGGCGGCACTGATACAGCTGGTGGTTGCGGTTCTCGAGGCAGTTCCAGTGGGCGCGGAAGGACTCGAGGCAGTGGGTGTTGATGTCCTGGAGGCTGTGGCCATTTGTCAGCGCCATCACATTTCTCTCATGGCCACACGGCGACGTGAGCCTGCCCCGATGGCGGGTCAATAGACGTACACGCTCTGAGCACACCTCGTCACCCTGCGGCCCTCCTTCATGCAGTCGAACTCGCCGCGGCCCGCCGAGTCGGTCTTGCACTGCATGTAGTCGTCATTGTAGTCGCGGCACCGGGCGCCGATGAAGAAAGACGCGGAGAGAAGGGGCGCAGAGCTCGCACCGACCTCCTGGACCTTGGGAATTGAGGCCGGGAGGGGCGTGGTGTCGTAGTGGACCTGCTCGTTGAACCTGGGGGAAGACACTGGGTTAGCTCCCTGCTGTCGCTGCTGCGCACCAATGCATCGAGCGAGCCGTCCAATTGAGGAGACACGTCATTCTCGGGGTGAGTGAAACGTACTGAGGACGTCGGGTCGACATGGTTGCGGCGTTTGAGGGGGTCGTGTCGTCGTGGTGATGATACAGGAACAAGATCTCGACGTTGAATGCCGAATTGATGTGAGGTCAGAATCAGCGACGCTTGATTGGTCCGTGTGGGCCAAGGCTGGCAGGCCTGGTACCAATTCTCGGTCAGTGCTCGGTGAGGCACGGTCCCCGGGAGCCTGGAGAGCTCGAGCTCCAATCATTATTTTCGCGTCGCCAGACCTGTACCGTCCACTCAGCCATCGAGTTCGAGTTGCAGCTCCAACGTTCCACACGGCGACCATTCTGTCCCATTCGACGATTGCGAAAAAAAGACCGAACTCATCGACACACTTCCCTGTCGGTTGAGCTTCGTCGCGCCGGGCAGGCAGCAATTGAGTCGACTGTTGTTTTCCCCTACGTCCTCATCGCAAACAACATTCCGCTCCGACAAACCTCACAGTCGTATCCTTGTCCTCATCACACGTCCATCGACACCTTTGCCTCGATTATCAAGCCATCAGCACGCACCCGAGCCGCAATGAGCCTTTTTGGGAAGCCCGCAGGGCAAGCTGGCGGCTTGTTTGGTGCAAGCACATTCGGCCAGTCCCAGCAACAACAACAACCGCAACAGCAACAGCAAGCCGCGCCGACCCTCAGCCTGTTCGGTGGCCAACAGAACCAGACGAATCAGCAGCAGAATCAGGGCACATCGAGTCTTTTTGGAGGATCCTTTGCGCAGCCACAGCAGCAGCAGCAGCAACAGCAAGTTCAACAGTCACAGCAGCAGCAAATGCCGAGCCTAGCACAGTCGCAAGCCCAGCTGTCGAGCTCCCTCTGGCAACCAGGCAGTGAAACACCACGTACGTCGCGCACACACACTCTATCGCATCCCTCAATGACAAAATTTCGAGACTAACGTGCAGCCCTTGCGCCTTGCAGAAAACCAGAAGCCCCCGATGGAACAGATCGCAACCACGTTTCGCAAATGGCATCCTGGTGACCCCAGCTGCGTGTTCCGCCACTACTTCTACAACAAGGTCGATAACGCCGCGGTTCCTTTCTACCAGCCCGGCCCCAACGAAGACCCCAAGGAGTGGGAGGAGGCCCTGCAGCGCAAGCCTGGCCAGGGCTACATCCCCGTCCTCGGCGCCGGCTTCTCAGGTGTCGCCGACCGCCTGCAAACGCAGAAGCGCGTGGTTGGCGAACATAACGTCCGCCTGCACCAGATCAATGCTAGTCTCGATGCCATCCTCTCGCGACATGATCTTGAGACGAGCGTGCGGGCGCTGGCGGCGCGGAGACGACACGTCGCACTGCGGGAGCGCTGTCTCGCGCTGGCAGCCCGCGTCCAGGTGCTGCGGAATCGTGGCTACGCCCTCAGCGGCGACGAGGATGACCTGCGGCTCAAACTTGTGGAATTGGACCGCGCAGTGCAAGACCCGGCACTGAGCGCGAGGGAGGAGGAGCTGTGGAGCAGGCCTTATTGTGCTGCGTGGGTACGCGGACCAGTTGATGAAAGAAGTCAACAAACCGACTGCCACGAACGGGGAGTCGTTGAGCGAGGAGACGGAGTTGAAGGTCAAGAAGGTACGTACGAAGCTCGGCTTATGGTTTACGAAGCTGGCTAACGGAAACCTCAGGTTCTCGAAGATTACGAGAAGCAGATCCAACACCTCAAAAAGGAAGTTGAGTCGATCACGAAAGACTTTCAAGAGTGGGAGAGCGACGGTGCTGCGCGGTAGGATAGCGCAGTCAACCAGTGACGGATTGAGGTGAGCGGACAGGACGTGGCATGGCTGTCACACAAGGCATGGGCAAGGGGCGAACGGGCAGAAATACACCGCAATGGCATCATCGGCGCCCGACAGTTTTCGCTGCAAAATCCTCGGGGGAATACATCCGAACCGAGGTATGAAGTTTTCATGTCGTGAGATGCTAGCTGGCTTGAAGCCTTGCTACAGCTGGGCCTCGGAGGCCGCGTGGTTGATTATAGTACAAAATAATGTACAACAGGGTATCGTCCCATTTCACAGCCTAGTACTCGCTACCATTGCGTGTAGATCTGGACTTGCTTCTTCTGTCATCTTATAAATCCTATGCCGCCGTGTTTTCGAGTCAAAGGGTGTAATGGCTTAGAAGACCTTAGAGACGGCGTCAATAGCGAAAGGGGCTGGAGAGAGTTAGCTTCCTTGGCGTCAAGGTTCGATCCCATCGTAGTAAGCATACAGAGGTAGAGCATGACGGCCGAGACAAGGACCTGCTGGATGTTGAAGTTGGCCTCAGCCTCCATCTGCTTGATCTCCTCCTCGGAGAGCTGGGGGGGCGCGACTGCTAGCTGTTAACAACAATTCGACGGTACCATGGAGCATCACTTTGTGCACTAACATCCTCCGAACATTCTGGCGGTTTTTGGAGAGATAAATTGGGTAGGTTTGGTGTGAGGGTTGATTCAGTCAGGTCGTCGTCGCGTCGAGCTATGATGTCGTCGCAGAAATTTAGGATCCTCAACCTTCAGCTCCCCCTGTGCCCGACCGTCTGACCAGGGGCATGGTACATTAGGTAAGCGAATGATAGCGTGCTGATAAGAAGCGGGCTTCGGCTACAGTTACCGACCGGGCATGGCCCGAAGCCGGGACCTTATCAGGGATGAGTGAAAATATCGGCGTATCAGAAGTTCTTGTTGGGTAACGATAAGATAATTGTGGATGGACCGGTCGACTTTTCGTCGCACTCCTGACCCGTGTCGAGCCGAGCACGGTGACGGTGACCCGTTGTCCGGGGCAGGTGCCAGTCATTGATAGTCATGGTCACCATTGCCCCAGGTCAAGGAATATCATGGGCAAGGGCAAGAGCGCGCACGACTTGATCCTTCTCACCGACATCATCATTTGGGCAAATCATTCTCTGCCTGCTCCTAGACCTTGACGCTCTTGTTCTTGATCCCTTTATCTTCAGATTCCAGGCGCATCAAAATCGCACCCCGGATCTTTGTTGGTCGGTGGCAACGTCTAGGTGGGCATGAGTCGCTAATCATACCCGCACCCACCACTCGACCCGGACCGGCTCCTTCAAGACCCTCTTCACCCCTCGTGCCGAGGAATCTTCCCCACGACACCTCCCCCCATCTCCTCCTCGATCACCTCCAGCATACCCTCTTGGCCGTCAATTGAAACCAAACCGAGCCTCAATCTCGCTCGCAATGGCTTCTACCAGACTGCCCCTCCCCCGCCATCTGCGCCTGCGGGTGGCGTCGCCGAGGTTCACCACTGGCCTGACACGGGCATCACCAGCATCCTCTGCACGTGTCGCCAGCCTCTGCGCTCGCCCTGCGACGGCGGCGTCCCTGCCTGTTGGCATTCGCGCCTTCAGCGCGACGTCGTCGGCCTTGACGCCTTACGCCAAGGACAACACGGACGTGGTCGCTCGAGCCACTCAATGAAATTCACACCTTTCATCCCCCGCCACATTGGCCCCCGACATCCACGATGCCCAGCAGATGCTCAAGGCGCTGGATCCGCCAGTCAAGACCATTGACGAGTTCATTCCGAGGTCATCCCAGCAGACATTTTTGTCGGGAGAGGGCGGCCTTCCTCCCCAATGGCGAGCCCCTCCTCGAGAGCGACATTGCGTCCATCGCAAAGATGCTCAAGACCACCGAGCAGTACTCGGCCCCCTTGATCGGTGCTGGTTATTACCCCACCATCACGCCCAGGTCATCCAGACTAATGTTCTGGAGAACCCGGCTTGGTACACCAGCTATACGCCCTACCAGCCCGAGATCAGCCAGGGCCGCCTCGAGTCTCTCCTCAACTTCCAGACCATGGTCTCCGACCTGACCGCTCTCCCCATCTCCAACGCTAGTCTTCTGGACGAGGGTACGGCAGCCGCCGAGGCCATGACCCTGTCCATGAACGCTCTCACGACCTCTCGTGCCAAGAGGGCTGGGAAGACATACGTCGTATCCCACCAGATTCATCCTCAGACGCTCTCTGTCCTGCAGGGCCGAAGCCAGGGGTTCGGTGTCAAGATCGAGACTATGGATGTTACGTCTCCTGATGCTCATGAGCGCATCAAGGCTCTCGGTGACGACCTTGTCGGTGTCATGGTTCAGTATCCTGACACCAGGGGTCACGTCGAGGACTTCAAGGCTCTCTCCGAAGTCGTTCACTCGCAGAAGGCTCTTTTGGCTGTTGCCACTGACCTTCTGGCTCTGACTCTCCTAACTCCCCCCGGTGAATGGGGAGCCGACATTGCCTTCGGTACTGCCCAGCGATTCGGCATTCCTCTTGGCTTTGGTGGACCCCACGCTGCCTTCTTCTCTGTCACCGACGCACACAAGCGCAGGATGCCCGGACGTCTCATTGGTGTCTCCCGCGATCGCACGGGCAAGAATGCCATGCGCCTGTCTCTCCAGACTCGTGAGCAGCACATCAGGCGAGAGAAGGCCACGAGCAACGTGTGCACAGCCCAGGCGCTGCTCGCTAACATGAGCGCCCTCTATGCAATTTACCATGGCCCTGAGGGCCTCAAGCAGATTACCAACCAGGTCGTCGCCCGCGCACGCGGCGTTCAGGCGCTTGCCAAGCAGTTTGGCATCACGACTGAGGAACCTCGCAACTCTCCCGATGGCAAGGTCCTCTTCGACACGGTCATTCTCAAGGCTGGCGACAAGCTCGCCGAGAACATCGTCGAGAAGGGTGAGCAGCTTGGTCTTCACTTCCGTAAGCTTGGCGGTGGCGATCTCGGCGTCAGCATCGGCGAGGCCACGGATGCGCAGGCGTTCCAGAGGCTTGCCATCACCTTCGCTGCGGCCACTGGTGGAGACCCCAACAAGGCTGGCGACGCTGCCATTGAGGTTCTCCGCAAGGAGGGCGTCGATGTGCACAGCACGCTGCCTGACACTTTCAAGAGACAGTCGGAGTACCTTACTCACCCTGTTTTCAACACGCACAGGAGCGAGACGGAGATCCTCCGTTACATCTACCACCTTCAGTCGAAGGATCTTTCGCTCGTCCACTCCATGATCCCCCTGGGATCCTGCACCATGAAGCTTAACGGTGCGACTGAGATGTCCCTGATTTCCAAGGACACTTTCTCCAACCCTCACCCTTTCGTCGACCCCAAGCACACCCCTGCCTACCTCGAGTTCATCAAGCAGCTTGAGGACCAGCTGTCCGGCATCACCGCCATGGACGCAACCACTCTGCAACCCAACTCGGGAGCGCAGGGAGAGTTTGCTGGTCTGCGCGCCATCCGCAGGTACCATGAGCAGCAGCCGGGTACCAAGCGCGACATCTGCCTGATTCCCAAGTCTGCCCACGGCACCAACCCTGCGTCTGCCGCCATGGCCGGCATGCGCGTCGTCCCTATCGAGTGCGACAACCTGACGGGCAACTTGGATATTGCGGATCTCGAGGCGAAGTGCAAGAAGCATGCTGCCGAGCTGGGCGCCATTATGGTCACGTACCCTAGCACCTACGGTGTCTTTGAGCCGAACATCAAGCAGGTCTGCAACATTGTGCACGAGCACGGCGGCCAGGTCTACATGGACGGTGCGAACATGAACGCCCAGATCGGCCTCTGCTCGCCCGGCGAGATCGGCGCTGACGTCTGCCACCTGAACCTGCACAAGACCTTCTGCATCCCCCACGGTGGAGGTGGTCCTGGCGTTGGCCCCATCTGCGTGAAGAAGCACCTGGCTCCCTACCTGCCCGGCCGTCACCCCGACGACAAGGAGGCCATGATCAGTAGCGCCCCTTACGGGAGCGCCGGTATCCTGCCCATTCCTTGGGCTTACAACTCCCTCATGGCAACCGCGGCCTTGCTCTCGCCACCAAGATGGCCATTCTCAATGCCAACTACCTCCTCGCGCGCCTCAAGCCCTACTACAAGATTCTTTACACTAATGAAGGTGGTCGCTGCGCGCACGAATTCATCCTCGACGCCCGTCCCTTCAGCAAGACGGCGGGTATCGAGGTTATCGATATCGCCAAGCGTCTTCAAGACTACGGATTCCACTCGCCCACCATGTCCTGGCCTGTGGCTAATACGCTCATGATCGAGCCGACGGAGAGCGAGAGCAAGGAGGAGCTCGACAGGTTCGTCGATGCGTTGATCTCGATTCGCGCCGAAATCCGCGAGATTGAAGAGGGCAAGCAGCCGCGCGAGGGCAATGTGCTGAAGATGGCGCCTCACCCTCAGGCGGACGTGATCCTGGGTGACAATGGCAAGTGGGAGCGGCCCTACTCGCGTGAGCAGGCGGCATACCCCCTGCCGTGGCTCAAGGAGAAGAAGTTCTGGCCCAGCGTTGCGCGTGTCGACGATGGTGAGTTCAACCTGCCAACTTGTGCAGTCAGACTGCTAACAAACTCATAGCCTTTGGTGACACGAACCTCTTCTGCACTTGCCCACCCGTCGCAGACACGACGGGCGAGCAGTCATTTGGCGTGCAGGCGTAAAAGCGGGCTTACCACCTGTACCATACCATATAATCAGCATGCCGGGATTCAATGCGTCGGAAACATTCAACATTTCGGCCGCAAGGCGTAAGGAGGGTTCAGAAATTTTTAACATTACAAAGCGGGTTCAGCGGTTCAACCTGGAATCTAGACGAGAAAGACAGGATGACAGAAGTGGTACGACGGGTGTTTTTCAACAGGCAGGATAGCGAGGGCTCGGACACGAATGACTTTATACCAATGATGCCGGGGAGGTTGCGCTTCGGCACCTGGCGGCCCCTGGCGATAGACGTGGAATGTGATCCGCGCTTTACTTCTAGACAGTGGTGTCGAATGACTGAGGATTCAATGAAGAAGCACACGGTGTTTTTAACCTACTGGGCGGCCCAAGGGGCTCTTGCTGTCTGAAAGTGATGGGAGATGTGAAAATGGGCAGCTTCTCACCGAATGACTCGGTTGACCGAGAGCGCACGTCTGGTGGCGGGGCAATTTTTACCCCGCCACCCCGCCATCCAGTCGAGAAAATTCGAAGCTCGATTATCGATCAAGCCTTGACAAGCTGCTTATCAAGCGTGCGACCAAACTGGGCTCTCTTTCTGTTCGCGCTCACTACATAGTCTTGGTTGGGGTCCTGTCACAGCCAACTGCATTTCAGAGATACCCAGATACCCAGGCGAGCCTCTTTCCCATTTTACCAGCTTCCGCTTCCTCTCCCACCATATTTCGACGAACGCATCTCAACCATCGCAAAAATGGCTGCCCGCCGCGAAGATGTCGAAGATATCCACGATGAGGGCAACGACATGCTCGATGCCGAGGAGGTCGGCGAGGAGGTCCCCTCGGGTGACGAGGGCGACGTCGCGATGGATTCCGACAACGAAGAGATCCAACTTCAGAACGATTCGATTGCCTACTTTGACGAGCACGCTGATTCGGTCTTCGCTATTGCGCAACACCCCCATCCACCCTTCGCTGATCGTCACCGGTGGCTCCGAAAGGTGACGCCGATGATGCGCCAGGCAAGGGTTATGTCGTCGACACAAAGCGGCCGCCGCTGAGCGCCCCGTTCTCCCCCGCCAGCTACAGCGGCGCGCAGCCTCGCGAGAGCACGCAGCTCGATGCCATCTTTGCCGTCGAGGGCCATACCGACTCTATCAACACCCTCGCCTTTACGCTACCCAACGGCGACTTCCTCGTCAGCGGCGGCCTCGATGGCCGGCTGCGAGCCTACACAGCGACCGTCGCCCCGCCCAACGCGACGTTCAAGTTCCTCGCCGAAGCCCAAGAGGTACCCGAGATCAACTGGATCGCCCCCTGTCCATCCTCCGACTATCCCAACACCATTGCCCTCGGCGCGTCGGACAACTCGGTCTGGGTGTACACAATCGATCCCGCCTCGGACGCACAGAACCCGCTGCAGCTCGTCAACACCTTTTGGCTGCACACGGCACCCTGCACGGCCGGCGCCTGGACACCCGACGGCAGCCTCCTCGCCACGGTCGCCGAAGACTCCTCTCTCTACGTCTGGGACGTCTGGGGCCTCGCGGCCTCCAAGGGCGTCGTCGAAGCCAACGGCCAGACGGTCGTGTCGCTGACGGGCGCCGACTCACGCTTCGAGGTCGAGGGCGGCCTGTACTCGATCGCCGTCGAGCCCAACGGCGCGTACCTCGCCGTCGGCGGCGCGGGCGGCCAGATCCGCATCGTCTCGCTGCCGCGCCTCGCGTCCGCGGCCCAGGGCCAGCGGGGCCGGCAGGGCAAGGGCGCAAGGGCGCGGCGTCCCAGGAACGTGACGTCGGGCGGCCCGGACCCTCGCGGGCCCTCCCAGACGCGGGCCGAAAAGCATCCGAGAAGGCCGACAGCATCGAGACGCTCTCCTTCACGCAGCGACGGGCGGCCAGCCCGGCCAGCAGACGACGCTGCTCGCGGCCGGCAGCGTCGACGGCAGCATCGTCGTCTTTGACGCGACGCGGCGGTTCGCCGTCCGCAAGAACCTCATCGGCGCCCACGAGGACTTTAGCGTCGTCAAGGTCGAGTTCGTCAAGGGCACGTGGCTGCTGACGAGCTGCGGCATGGACGGCGTCGTGAGGCGGTGGGACCTGCGCGGCGGGGCGGCGAACCCCAACGCCGCGGGCGCCGCCAACAGCGGCCTCGTCAAGGAGTGGAAGGGTCACCTTGGCGACGGTGAGGGCGGTGGCGTCCTCGGCTTCGTGCAGGGCGCGACGGGCGAACGGGTCATTACGGCGGGCGATGATGGTGTTGTGCTGGTTTTCGAGGCGTGAACTAGCATCACGCCCATAGGATGTATGATGCCGTAATGTGGATAGAGAAAAAGGGAGGCTATGATGATACTCTGCGAATAGAATCGAGAATCAACGACTGATGTTCTTGTCTACTTGTCGCCTCGTGATACTCCATGCCCACTGGTCCTAGCCACGTGTATCGAGCCTGACCTCAAGACGCCTAGCGTTAGAGACTTTAAAGCCAGGCCTTTCGTCTTCTTATCTCCGACTGAAGCAGACTGATGAGGTCAAGCATTATGGACTTGTTGGCCAAAACTCGTAACGTATATGATGCTCACCGAGCACACCGAGCACACCCCTTAGACCCGTCACATGACCTCGCATCGTGGTCCGGCAGGCGCTACTGGTCGCGTCGCCAGGAGCTCTCGTGCCTGCTTGCCAGCCTTGCCTTCCCCAGAAAATCCATGCGACAAACGACGTACTTCCACACTGAACCAACAACCTCGACTCACCCTTCGCCTCGAGCCCCAATACCTTCCTTTCCATCATTGAACCCCATTCAATCCATATCTTCAGCTTCATCACCAATCTCAGCGTTCAGATCCTGTTTTTGCCTGCATCATGGCAACCCGTTCCATGTCGCGGGACCTTGACCGGGCACCCACTCGCTCTCCAACGCCCGCCTCCGACTACTCTCGCAACCGTCGCCGGCAGCTCGACTCGCGCTCGCCTTCGCGCTCCCGATCACCAGAGCCCCGCCGAAACGGCAGGTACAGGAGTGAGACACGCTCGCGAAGCCCTGTGCGACGAGGCGAAAGTCGTGGCCGCAGCCCAACACCCGTCAAGAGCACAAAGGTGGGTAGCGCAAGGTTTCCCATGCGGAAGGGAGCTGACGTGAAGGTAGATTGTCGTCGAGCGCCTAACCAAGAATGTGAACGAAGACCATCTCTACGAGATCTTCGGCCAGTTCGGCCGCGTGAAGGATCTCGATCTACCCATCAACAGAAGTAAGTCTTCGACCCCAGAGCCCCTACCCACACTCGGCGCGCAGTACTCATCCGTCCTCTTCTTCAGTGGGTACCAATCGCGGCACAGCCTACATTCTCTACGATGACGAGGCCGACGCTGAAGATGCCATTGCCAACATGCACGAGGCCCAACTCGACGGCGCCGTCATCAACGTCTCCATCGTCCTGCCGCGCCGCAAACTCTCTCCCGCACCGCCTCTAGCTCGCCGGGGTGCCGGCATAGATCCTAGGAACCCACACCCGGGCCCTCGGGGAGGTGGCGGCCGCGGTGGTTCATTTGGCGGTGGTGGTGGGCGTGGTGGCGGCCCCAACGGTCCCTCGAGCCGCTTCGGACCCAATTCGGATACATACCGTCCCCGATCTGCCTCGCGGTCGCCGTCGCGGTCGCCGGCAGCGAATGCGGGCAGGGCACGTGGTGGTAGTCGTTACAGGAGTCGGTCCCGGTCGCACACACCTTCAGGATCAAGATCACCGTCGAGAACACCACCAAGACGTCGTGGAGGGGGTGGTGGCGGTGGCGGCGGCGGCGTCGGCGGCGGTCGCAACAGGAGAGATAATCGTCGGAGAAGCCCCAGCCGCGATTCCTACGATGACAGGTCTAGGAGCCGCAGTCGCAGTCGAGACCGTCGTTCTCGGCATTAGAGACGTCGAAACGATGAAGCCCGGCACGCGGGATGATGGGAGGCTCTGCTGACGAGGTCCCAAAGCCATTTTGGCGGTTGAATAAGGTATGGGACTTGGCAACAGGGTGAAGGACAAGACGGATCGAATCCGTGTTGGCAATCTTGTGCGTAAATATGTAAAATCCGGAGGATCAGACAACCAAAGACACTGATAATGATACCATCTTTGAAGCTGTGCGTCTGGCTATGCCCAAGTCGTCAATACCCTTTGGAAAGTAACCATTTGCAACCGCTTAAAGGGCAGAGTCTGGCTGCGTGAGTCAGGAGGGATGTCGGTCAAAATCGATGACAGGCGAATAGGCGGTTTGAAGGATAATCACAAGCTAGCGAACCGCAAGTATGTGCAGCACCACCGCGGCAAACAGAAGTCAGGGCCTAGTATTTCGTTCGCAGCATGCTGCGCAGTGTGTATCTCACTGCAGGACATTGTTCCTTAAGGTCTTCACGTAAGGGCATACTACAATGCAGCTGAGAGGCTCGCTGGAATTAGCATTGCAGTTCATGCTACGCTTCGTGAAGACCACCTATCTCATACGTAGCGATGCCCACAATCGAGAGCGGCATGTCTCCGGAGAATTCCTGACACGGTCGGGGTTGCCCTGCACGATTTTCCTCACTCCTATGACACTATGAGAGGTGCCCCCCTGTCGAAGTTGACAAGGCAAAGCGCCGAGTAGTTTCCTATCACAGAACCCCCGCTCGATGATCCGAGGAGACATCTGACCTGAAGCCTGGGATGGCCCTTCTTTATGATATGATATCATTCAATTCCAGACACCGAGCACATGTTGGGCAGCTCGCATCAACACCCCCCAACACTTCGAAGGAAAACCGCTTGATATCATCCGCAATCGACCCATTCACACGCATGCCGATTACTGTCACGTCGTATTTTGGCGAGCTTGGCGACGCGAGAGCGAGAAACAGAGTCGTCTCGTGTCTGCAGAGCTGTTGGTGATAATAGAAGGGCAGTCTGATTGGATGGATGGT